ATGAATACTGATTCAAGTAAACCAACTATAATGGGGTAATACGTTTTAAAGCAATTTCCCTCTGATCTACTGAATTCTTAGTTGTCCTAGTAAGCTTTACTAAACAACCTGATATGGCAGCGACAGCACAAAACAATGAAAAGTGAGGTTCCTCTGAAGAGTCTTACAAGGTGGACCCTGGATGTGGGATCAGAGTCCAAGGCTCTGTGATCGGAATGATCTGGACACAGTAGCAGTCGTGCTAAAACTAGACTGAGGAACTCTTTCTTTGCTGTAGTGTATAATCTGAGCAAGATTAAATGCGACTACTCTCTGGGACCCTTGTGTGCTCAATTATCTTGAAACTGTTCTCGTTTTTTTCTCAGGCAAAGGAATCATTACTCTGATTGTCATTGTTGTTCGTAAGTAGCCCAAACTTGACGTTACTTAAATAAAAATAACACTGTGAGCAAGTGCATTTTTTAATGTATGCAGTTATTTTTAATTTAACTTTCCAATTTCTATAGTTTTTATAGCTTGAAGTGAAGTACACCAGTCTAGAACGGTCTGACTTTGTATATAATACACTATGCTTTGCTGGTGAATGTATATTCTTTTATATTCCACTTGTCCACTTAGTAACAAACCTAAATACTCCATGTGTTTTCAGGATGATTAGTCATGACTCTGCGTCCCAAATATGCTTTGGGTACTTTTCTAAACTAAGCAAGGATTCTTCCCTGACTTACTGTGGACTGTTCACGAACTTGTGATAGTGAAGAGTCTAGACGGAATATGAATATATATGGGCTTAAATGAAGTAGCATTTTCTGACCACTGAAATGTAACCAACACTTACTTATTTCTGCTGCTACATTTTGAATCTTGGCAATTAGTTCTCAGAGTTACATGTCATTTGTTTCTGGTTTCTTGTAGTTGCTGGCATTGTATTCCTTTGCTGCATCCTGGTCATATTTTATCGACACAAGAGGAAAGGGTAAATTAAAGGACATTTCTTCTAACTTCCGGTCCTTCTCACTCCTCACCTACGTGCGTGCAGCATTTGCACCTGTGCCTATGCCATCTTTCCCTAAGCTGAGCCCGCATCAGTGTGCCCTGCCAGTCGCATCTGTTTACTAACAATATTTTAGGCTGCTTTTCCTGTCCCGGCGGCCAGAGCGACCTGCGCAGACTTGCTTTGTCTGTTAGGACTTCACGAAAAATTTCTGTGGGGTGGGATTTGAGGTTTAAGTTCTATAGCAAATCACGGAGCGTTAAGGGGCCTTCCCCACCCAGCTTTCCCCTATTTCCTAAATTGGACCAGGGGCCA